CTCAAGTCGTGCTAGCCATTCTGTGAGTTATCATGGGAAGCGCAGTGTTCGAAATGCTAAAAATGTCCAAGTACGAATCGGGAGTAGTCGGCGCACGACGCCGTCTCCTGTTCACACTCGAATTGCAGCCGTTTTGTACGCTTGCGTCCCCGTCTACGCCCATCTATGGTATGAAAAGTTGGATCGATCCAACTCTTCCCGTCGCTTCCCGATCTGTACGGTAGTACGGTTGCGTTCCCGTTCCTGGTGTTCACATTGGACGCCGTCAGACCGTCCCGTTGCTTCCCGTCGATCCTTACGCCGCGTCCCGTCGAATGTGAACTAGGCTTAAAGAAGAAGCACCTCCTAGGCTAGTACCAAAAGAGTATTCCAATATTAATATGTGTACATGCTTGAACACAACTGATTTAGTAAATGCCCCAAACATGTACACGCGGATGTCTCTTATCCGGGCACCTTGGGATCGGGTACTGCCCGTATCTCAGGAAAACTCATCTACCATGTACCACATCATTTTTTGAAGCAGTGTATTTTGGCACGCATTGTACATGTTCAGGTTACAGAAAGAATCTATTGATAAAAAATGTGTGGATTTCAAAGGTCAGCAGTGACAAAGAAGCACTTGCACATATGAAAAAAGTTCAAACCCCCCAAATTCAACACATTTTTGCCATAGGAACTCAAGGTGAAGGTGCCCGGTAGAGAGACGTGCCCGTATCTGAGGCGTCCGGATAAGAGGCGTTTGAGTGTAGTGTCTTTAGTTCATATTGATCTGCGAGCACTTTACAACACTACTTCAATGCTAGGATGGTGCTAATATTCATCTATTCCACTCCTAGTCTATTTCTACCACTTGTAATTGCAATTCATCAGCAATAATTGCACACAGATACCTTTCCTGGGGGTCTTAGCCAGTGAGTAACCTCTATTCATTCATTTTAAATAAAGAGAGGCATTGTCGGAAATATCAAAATGCATCTTCAATAACATTGGTATTGATTTTATTGGTATGGTATTGATTTATTTGAATTCGGTATCTCAACAGTACATTGTACAACTTGCTTCCACGTCGACCATTTTCGAGGCTGCAAATGCGTCTTGAAGTCTAATCCTATATAAGGGATTAACTGGTGACAGACAAAACAAAGAGGTACTACAGTCAGTAGGGAATACTTCTTCTTGAAGTAGTTATTATGCTGCAAATCCAATGAAGAATGTCCGGTAGAATTTCGACTGAGTAGCTAGTGTGTGTGTGTGTGTGTGTGTGTGTGTGTGTGTGTGTGTGTGTGTGTGTGTGTGTGTGTGTGTGTGTGTGTGTGTGTGTGTGTGTGTGTGTGTGTGTGTGTGTGTGTGTGTGTGTGTGTGTGTGTGTGTGTGTGCCAGCTAGTTCGGTTGGTGGGTACACTTATGCCTGATTGTGTTGGATCTGTTGCCAACGGGCTCGGCTACTTGAAGGTGTAATGTTGTACCTGCCACCTTTGTTGGTTCCAGGGTTCATATACTTTCTGTTTGAAGTATACATACCTGTTAACCATGGACTGCTTCTGGCTAGATTAACTCTTGTGTAATCAACGGTGCTAGTGAAGCTTATATCAGATCCACTCTGATTTAGCCACCCACACTAGTTGCAAGTATTACCTTCACTGGGGGCAGGGGTAACTGCAGTTGGATCCCGGGACGGATACCCTGATGCCGTCAATCCTTTTTCTGCACCTTGTCCTCACCCACTTGCTGAGGTGTGGTGAGCCCATAAGTGGGATCATCTTCAAGTCCACCCAGAGTTTTGGGGATTTCAGGGGGTGTCGGTCGTTGGGCGGTTCAATAGCCAATTGAGTCATTTTTCCAAGATTCCTCTTGAGTCTCTCTCCCCTCTCCCGGGGAGACCCACGTGACCAGTTTTGGCAGTGAGCAACAAGTACAAGTACAAGTACAAGTGTGTGTGTGTGTGTGTGTGTGTGTGTGTGTGTGTGTGTGTGTGTGTGTGTGTGTGTGTGTGTGTGTGTGTGTGTGTGTGTGTGTGTGTGTGTGTGTGTGTGTGTGTGTGTGTGTGTGTGTGTGTGTGTGTGTGTGTGTGTGTGTGTGTGTGTGTGTGTGTGTGTGTGTGTGTGTGTGTGTGTGTGTGTGTGTGTGTGTGTGTGTGTGTGTGTGTGTGTGTGTGTGTGTGTGTGTGTGTGTGTGTGTGTGTGTGTGTGTGTGTGTGTGTGTGTGTGTGTGTGTGTGTGTGTGTGTGTGTGTGTGTGTGTGTGTGTGTGTGTGTGTGTGTGTGTGTGTGTGTGTGTGTGTGTGTGTGTGTGTGTGTGTGTGTGTGTGTGTGTGTGTGTGTGTGTGTGTGTGTGTGTGTGTGTGTGTGTGTGTGTGTGTGTGTGTGTGTGTGTGTGTGTGTGTGTGTGTGTGTGTGTGTGTGTGTGTGTGTGTGTGTGTGTGTGTGTGTGTGTGTGTGTGTGTGTGTGTGTGTGTGTGTGTGTGTGTGTGTGTGTGTGTGTGTGTGTGTGTGTGTGTGTGTGTGTGTGTGTGTGTGTGTGTGTGTGTGTGTGTGTGTGTGTGTGTGTGTGTGTGTGTGTGTGTGTGTGTGTGTGTGTGTGTGTGTGTGTGTGTGTGTGTGTGTGTGTGTGTGTGTGTGTGTGTGTGTGTGTGTGTGTGTGTGTGTGTGTGTGTGTGTGTGTGTGTGTGTGTGTGTGTGTGTGTGTGTGTGTGTGTGTGTGTGTGTGTGTGTGTGTGTGTGTGTGTGTGTGTGTGTGTGTGTGTGTGTGTGTGTGTGTGTGTGTGTGTGTGTGTGTGTGTGTGTGTGTGTGTAGATCGCACAGCATGTTGCTTCAGCTTGACTTGGAGAATGAATAATTATCAAGGCAATGTCCAATCTGAAACGGCTTCACTTTGAAACTTACTTACTTCACCTTGAAGTATGGAATCGAGCATGAGTACGAGGACGAAAGTGCGGAATCGGAGCCCGACGCGCGCTAGCGCGGAGGGCTCCGATTCTAGCACTTGAGTCCGAGTACGAATGCTTTGATACCATTTCTGACATGCATTCCAATCGGAGCACGCCTAGGCGTGCTCCGATTCAATCGGAGCACGCCTGGGCGTGCTCCGATTGGAAAATCGGAGACCTGCAAGCGCTCACAGGTCTTCAGTGGCTGATTCAAAGCACGGCAAGTCGCGCTAGGATTCGCTGTTGCCATGTCGATTGTCATGTGACATGTCAGAATACACCTTTTACGTTCGCAGCCTCCGCAGAACAGCTTCTCGAGCTTCCCCAATGACATGTTCTGACATGTCACATGACAATCGACATGGCAACAGCGAATCCTAGCGCGACTTGCCGTGCTTTGAATCAGCCACTGAAGACCTGTGAGCGCTTGCAGGTCTCCGATTTTCCAATCGGAGCACGCCTAGGTGCAATGCATGTCAGAAATGGTATCAAAGCATTCGTACTCGGACTCAAGTTAGTGCTAGAATCGGAGCCCTCCGCGCTAGCGCGCGTCGGGCTCCGATTCCGCACTTTCGTCCTCGTACTCATGCTCGATTCCATACGTCACGTCCACCAGTACTAGTAGTAGGGAGTCATGTACTCAAGTATTAGGCTGTGTTTACATGAGAAATTTCAACCCGGGTCGAGTTCAGCCCGGGTTGAAAGTCTGTACGATAGACAAAAGAGGTGAGCGTTTACATGAAGACAGTTGACCCGGGTCAAATACTGATATGCCGCCAAAAGTCCACTTCTACAGTCTTGCATGGTCACGTGAAACCGTTTGCATCTGCAGTGCTGTTCAAACCTGGCGCGAGATACGCACAGAAGTACGTTTGTACGATTTTCTTGACCCGGGTTGGTTTCAACCCTCCCCTTGGGGGGAGGGTTGAAATCAACCCGGGGCGAAATTTCAACCCGGGTCAAGCGCAATGCGTCATGTAAACGCGCCATTCACTTTGTGCACATGGCGGGTTGAAATCTGACCCGGGTCGAACTCAACCCGGGTTGAAACGCCTCATGTAAACACAGCCTTAGTTCCTTGTCATAACAAGGCAGATCAGACTTGAGCGTCGTGAAAAGAGAACAAAAAAAAGGAAAAAAGGAGGCGAGTCACGGGTGTTTCGCAGCGGCCACTCGTCAAGATGGCGGCAAATCCGAGAGTACAAAAATTTCGACTCTGGCTATGTGCGCGGCGGATGCGAATCTCGCACGTGCATGCAAAATCTAGCCTTCTGCAGATCTGGATAGAGCAAGTGTACGTGTGTGGGAACGACGACTTTTTCCGAGAGAGAATGTGGCTCTTTTCATCCCAACATTTTACTCGCCACGCTCTCCCTCCCAGCTTATTGAAACGAGTGTCTGCTACCGAGTAGAAGTCTCCATCTTCACAGCAGGCCAGGCAAAATCGCAACGTTGAAATACTTTGCTCACTTGGTGTTTTTGGTCCTTTGAGATGATGTGGCTGTTGTGTACAACTCGAAGTGACAAACTTGAGACCCCCGCGCCACAAAAAACTAAGGCGCGCCACAAAGTTTCGTTTGGCTATTCAATGAAAGGATGTATGGAAGCAGGGATAAAAACTATCGTGGCTGCCGGCAAAACTCTTAGTAATGTAATAAACGGGGTTGTGACTTTGGTAATTCCAAGGAGAATGTACGCACGGTCATTCCACAACGAAGACGAAACTACGAGCTCAAAAACACTCCGATTTTCAAACAAACGACGCAGGAAAGAAGACATGGCCGCAGTGTTCCCGTGTGGTCTTCAAAACACCTAAGTTTACTTCGATAGAGGCTGGTTCAGGGCAAATTCAGGCCCAATTCGACAGCATCGTACCGCTCAGATTCGCCCAAAACACAAGGAAATGTACGGTAGATCCAAATGCGTACGCATTTTGCGTACGGGGACGACTGGCCAGAGTTCATGCACTGCAAACACCCGTGGAGTGTAGTACATGTACTTTTGTAGTAGAGCATACACACACGTACATGTACTCGATAATTATAGCCCACCCGCTAGCACTAGCGGCCCGGATTTCACGAGCCTTGCTCTCGGTTTTTTTGTGGTCTCAAGATATCGGACCTCCTCGAATCGGCTCGATCTTGCACAGAACAACACTCCCACACTGCCACAGTCACAGTTTGACGAGACGCCATTGTGAGTAGCATCTTTGTCCGAAGCGTTGTCTTCCTTACTTGTCAAGATGGGATCAGGAGGTGACTTTGGCCACAAGAAAATGAGTGGGAGATGGCCCCTATTCATGGTCGCACGCCGTGGGGATTTGGGCTCGGTACGGACTTCGTTGATAGCTTCGCTTCCCTGCGTTGTCCGTGACTGACTGTGGTTTGGAATGCCAATATCGATACTTTCCTCTCCAGGCTGTCCCCCTGACCATTGCCACCATGTTCTGCGTTTCATTCGCAACGCTTCTGGGGTACCACATGTGCACCAAGGGAACGGAATTCAGGTATGGCAGGGATGGGTCTCACACATTTGAACGATAGACGTATTTTTCTTGCTGAGTTGGAAAATATTTTATCATGTCATGTCACTCACTCAGCCACTGCACTGAGAACAAAAAAAACATCTTGGTCAAAAATGAAACACAAACCAGTCGCTGGGCAGCACCTGTGCTTTAGTTTGTCTTGCTGACTACTAGTATCCTGATAATAATTATCAGGTTAGTCATGATCTATACTGTGACAATCCCCCCCCCCCCCCCCATTTGAGTTGCAAAGTAGAGACTGTGGTTAGGATTGTCTGTGAGGCACATATACAATTGTGTATAATATAGGCAGGGGACAAACGAATCTGATCGAGTGCCACGTCATGTGACCGTGTGAACAGATGTGCTACTAGTACGACCAAGAGTAAATAAGCTCCCAAGAGTGTAAAACTCTGCGTATGGGGTTTCCGACGGCGAAAACTCACATCATGTGTTTCAGGTACGTTTTGTACTATGTACAACTAAGGATAGCGTGCGCGCAATCCGAAAATCTGCCATGATTATATGCTGGCGTACGCGCAGTGAGTTTCTGCCAGGGAGTGCTTTTATTATTACTCCGCTGCTCGCTAAAAACTTACTAGCCTGTTAAGTACAACTTACTAGCCTGTTTGACCTTTTTTGGGTGCAGTCCTAGTAGATCCTGTCACTTGAGTTAAACCTTGGTGTGAAAGTTGTCGCCTGCTGGCGTGGTGACCAGGTGATTTGGGCACCCAGGAGCACGTGACCGCTTGTTCAACCATGTTCGATTGGGAATAAAGGAGGAACGCTGCATCGCAGCCTTTTCGGACCAAAACCAGTCGACTCAGCGTCCAAAAGACTACAACATATGGGCCAATCGCGGTCATCCGTGCTTTTATAAGAACGAAATGGCGCTTTTAGTGACATTTTGCATACAAATCCCCATCTAGTAGGGCGCAGTCACCCAGTTTCGGTGGAAGTGCGCGAGTTCGATTGGGATTCAAGTAGGAAGGGAGGGTCTCAGCTTTCTCGGACCAAGACCGTTCGACTCAGCACCCCGAAGACTACAACTGGTGAAATTTTAATTTTTGCCTCAACTTCCTCTTTAAGAACGAACTCCAAGATTTTTAAGAACGCGACATTTTTTGGTATTGTAATAACTACAATGCAATCTTCTGAAAAGAAGAGAGAGAAAGAGACGTGATATTTGAGCGCCGGTTTGTTTTGCAAGCGGAATGCACCTTCATGATCTTGTCCGAGTACACGAAAAACAAGTCCGCAACCACAAACTCTTGTCGGGTCCTCGCGAAAACATCACCCAGTGCAGCGCTACATACTACCCGTGCATGTAAAGGGTACAACCGGTACATGTAGCGCATGTAGCGCAAAGTGCATTGTACATGTAGCGCAAAGTGCATTGTACACGAGCGTCACGGGTCATGTTGGACGCGTAAGAACGTAGCCTGGGGCGCTGAAAAATCAGAACTTTGCTAGGCTGGCCCTCTGAAACCGCGTTCTTGGGCGTACGAGTCTACTGTAACATAACAAACTGAGTGCGGCTTTATATGGACATGTGTACTGGTTGATGCTGCACATCATTGGCCTGGATGCAGAGAGGTTCGGTGTCGAGGAAGTTGGATTGCTGTACTCCATAGTATAGTAGTCCATACTCTCCTACAGTGCATTGTATCAATATGTTGCTAAACTGATGTCGTACAGGCTCTCCGGAACCGGTCCGGTTGGTCAGGCTAACACCGCACCAACTTCCCCCCCCCCCCCCCCATATCATATACATTCACAAAGAATAGCTGCCAACCAACTGGGTCTGTTTTCCGTACTGCGACTTTGGATTTTCCGTATTTTGCACTGTTTTTGCGCACTGCCAATGTACTGCTGACCGTGTGCATTGCTTGCATTGACTTTTTTGACACTGCATGCTTGTTGATGGTTGGATTTGCCAGCGCAAAGCAGGTGTGACTTGTGCCGCGACATGATTGCTTTGTGCTACATGTAGACAAAGCACGGTATGCATTCGCGTCGGCGCAGGGATATTCATCGCTCAGCTTACGCTTGCCATGCCCCCGCATACATAGCCCTTCAAATCTCCATACCATTTTGCTCAAATTCCGTAGTGCGCGCGAAGGATAGATTTTCCGTACAAATACGGAAAAGTACAGAAGGTTGGCAGCACTGACAAAAAATTGCTTCCGGCAGTCCTGTCATAAACACGAACCATCTCATACAACAAGCAGCATTGACTCCCACTGCTATTCGGCCCTAGGTGTGAAATGATGAGAAGTTTGTCTTCCCCTAAGTTCCTATCTGTGCAGTTGTCCAATCTGGATGTTGCGCCGGGTCAGCAATGTAACAGCATATGTGTTTGTGTATGTATGTTCTGGTATGTATCTCTGGCCCCAACCAATAGATGGAGGCCCAGCAAGCGGTCAGATAAGTACTCTGAGGTCAACAACTGGGCCGACAAGAAGGACAACGGATTCGTAAGTGCCAGATTGCTGCTGGCCCATTTCCGTCCTCTACACTTTTGTGAGCTGGTGGACTCCATGTTTATGACGCAATGCGCATACACGGGTTGTGTACAGCGTGTGTACAACATGTCAATGCATCACTCGTGGTTCCTTGCACTAGTTTGTACATGATCTATTGAGGATTTGTCCACCACGGGTCCAAGATACGTCTGGTAATATGCGTACAATGCACATTGCATCATAAAAAAATGAGTCGGAGTTAAATGACGTCAACGTGAAATTCAGTTGGGATAGTACCCATAGTGGAGTCGCACACTCTTGAGGGTTATGTGTGCTTGCTATGAACTATAAAGGAAGAGAGGACCTTTTCTTACCATCCTATTGTGAGACCTCAAGGATATAATACAAATACATGTAGCAACTCGATGGCTAGGTTTTGAAGTAATTTTGAAGCAGCTAGATCAGCGGCAAGTTAATCTCATTTCAGAGCCCTACTGGTCTGCTGCATAGCTACACATCTTTGCCAGCAAAGGTGCGGTATGTGCAGGATCAATCTAGTTTCAAAGAATGTGACTGGCCTGTCCACCTGTCCCAACGGCATTCACCGAAACACCAAGATTATGGCTGCATGGTGGAGAGCGCTGTCAGAAATTATTGGAGTTCAGCAGCTAGCATTGTTCTTTTATGCATTTCAAAACGGTGGCGTGTTGCGTAAATGCTTCTTCTCGCCCATTCTCTCTCTCTCTCTCTGTGTGTCTCTCTCTGTCTATCTGTCTGTCTGTCTCTCTCTCTCTCTATCTCTATCGCTCTCTCTCTCTGTCTCTCACACACACACACACACACACTCTCTCTCTCTCTCTCTCTCTCTCTCTCTCTCTCTCTCAGAGCACTAACTTTGGCCTTTTGCATTGTGCATGTGTGTTTAACTTGTGCAGATTTTCGGAATCGGCACACCTTCCGAGGTGTATGAGGGCAAGCACCTGCCACCCAAGTACTAGATACGAATATGTACCAGTGAACTCCTATGTTCTACAGATTTACTCTCTTCTTTTTAATGATTACAATATTGTGTGGAGATTTCACAACACCTAGAGCGTGGGAGCAAGTCGGATGTCATTGTTACAGTACAGCGGACTCTATTGCAAATGCTTATATAGTTCTGACGCGGAGAAGTCATGTACCCCGCCTTATATGCAAGTTCCCCAGATATTATTTACCCATCTAATTCCAGATCATTAGAACAGTATTTATGGGATTTATAACAGATATCTGATGTGTTTAGAATGGATTGGTTTGCAGTTCGCTCTGAGCCTTGGTTGTGATTAGTATGTGAGTGCTTTGCATGCATCATCCACCAGTACTGCGGGTGTGGGTGTCTGTGCATGGACGTATATCATGCTTACCGGTGGGTGGGTGGGTGTTCCCTACCCTTGTAGATTGCAGTGAAGGGCAGTTGGCATAATTGTTGCCCCCCCCCTTGGGCTTGTGCAAGTTTGGTGTTGTTTTGCTAATATTCTTGACTTTTTGATTTCTTGTCCATTGCACTGGTGGATTCAGGATCAAAATCGCAGTGGTGGCAGTTTTTGTCGAGTCAGGCTAGTTTAAACTTTACAGCAAGAAACTCTTGTTTGTAGTAAGCTTTTGACTGTTCTTTGTTGCCTTCTTTATTTTTATGCTGGATGACGCTACCGTACCAGCGTTGAAAAAATAGAACTCACTCTTGAATAGTGCCCCAGGTGCATGCAGGGCAGGGGCACTAATCGTGCGAGTACGGTAAATATACGAGTACCTCTCCCGGCCCTGTGCTTCATGACCAGGGAGTCCTACACATGCATACGGTGTGTATAGGGCTCCCTGCTTCATGACCTGGTGTAGTGTGGGAGCACTAAAAAACCTAATGCATAGAGTATGTCTGTGAGCATTGTCAAGAGTACATAAACCAGTTTTCGTACTCTTGGTGTTGTGTATCCACAGTCTCTCACGCCTTGTGCACAGGGAGATAGTAGGGCATTGATTGCCATTGAATATCCTATTATCATATCTTGTACAAGTACACAGTGGTACTTCGAAGTAAATGTGCTTCAAAGACTAAAGCGCCTATTCAGTACGTACTCGACATAAACTTTCTTGATCAAGGCAGCCAGTTACTTAGCAGCTGGTCAAGACAAGCAGGGCAGTTGACTATCTTGTGGCTGATCAGTTTGCATAACCTGGTCTGGCAATTCTAACCAGTGTTCATTACAAGTCGTACCGGTACATGTGTGGTTTTTAATGTCTTGAACCTCGACAGTCTTCCACCCAGGGCATACACCTAGTAGAGGGTGAACAATGTGTGCTATGTAAGGACGCTCATATACAATTATTTTGGCCATTCTTTCTCTCCTGACGTCATGGGTCAAAGTTTCAATTACAACCTTATAAGCTGATCTGCAGCCAAGAGCGGTGCTATTATCTAGTGTTCAAGCAGTGTGGTATCGCTGATGTCGGATGGATCAAGCTTGGACATGAGGGACAGATCAGGAGTGGAGTAGCGATCCAGTTCTGCCAGTAGTTCGTCATCCTCGCGGCGCAGATCTTCAAACTCACTGTCCAGTGGTGGCTGGCCGGCTGATGCATCGCGAGCATAGGCCGCCGCAGATCGTGATCTCATTCCCGCTTGGCGCTGCGTTGGAAACGTCGACAAGCTACTCTCACTGACAGTGTCTGGAGACAAGGAAGCGCTCAGCATAGAACCATGTAAGGTGGTGTGCTTGCCAGTGGTCAAGGCACTTCCGCCGACTCCACTGCTCTGCCCAAAGCCAGCCGGCGGTGGCTTCGGTTTCTTGGCGTGTTTGTGTCGGGCGAGTTTGCCAGCTGACAGTGCATGCCGTGACCCGGCTCTTGCTTCATGCGATTGGTGGTCAATTGATCTAGTTGACGTGGAGCTGTGGCGCGTAGTATCACGCGGAGCACTAGCTTGTGACTGGAGAGGCACAGCAGCAGCAGCATTTCTCAAGTTATCCGAGTTGACCAGCGTGGTGGATATGGTGTTGAGACCGATCCTAGAACAGGAAAAGTTGTGAAAGAAAGGACATGGGCACATGCTGTAATTACCGGTATTAACTTTACTACTAGTACTAGATATTCAGATAACAGAGAACCAAATTTGATGAAAAACCAAGACACAGTACATGTACAACATACAGCTATTCCACCATGGTCCGGTACTGTATTATAATCGTGGACAGGCCCGTCCTGGTGGGCACAGAATCTCCTCATGTCTAAATGATGCTATGCTATCTGTGCATGCGTTGTGCTGGTAGACCTACACACAGTCTAGCTGTGCTCAAGTTTACATACTCAAGTACATATCGCATGAAGTGTTGGCGTGCGTGAAAGCTTGCCCTGATCGGCATTCGTCAGCAATTGCATGTTGGAGTTTCCATAGCCATGTTGGACGTGACGCTATCTACTTCGCCTGAAGTTGCGAACAGTTCAGGGGTTGACCATACTAAAAACTGTATACATTTTTACATGTATATGCCATACCGTAGGCCCTACCGGCTAGCTAGAGATCACTGACCTGATCGTCGTCATTTGCTCCAGAAGATCAGCACGCGATGACTGCAGTGCCTGTTCGCTATGCTGTATTGCCTATACAGCAGCAATGCCAATGGCAAACACAGACACATGCAGTGGCTTACTTACAGTTTGGGTTTACTTGGCCATTCGAGAGGTTAGATTGAACAAATCTTGATGTGTTTCGAGCACAGCCAGCAGACTTGGAAACTGCCCACTGGAACTGAGCCCGGGCCTGGAGTGTAGCGAGTGTCTGGCAAACAGCTACTGTTGTCTCGTACCTCATGAAAATAGTTTGTTTTTATTAAGACTGTGACTTACTCGCTGCATGGTGTTCATTTGTAAGGTGGCCGTCTTGCTTTCCTGCGACTGTGTGCCGAGCTGTGCTTCATGACGGTCTGCAGAATAGAGCAAGAGAAGAGATGCTCACAAATTGGGTGAAAAGGTTCGATGGAGGTTGGCAATTCCTGCACGTCACAGCAGCAGTAGAGCATTCATCTGCAGAACAAAAACTTGTTCACTCAATCTCCGGACAGCTACTAGTAGCTGTTTCGACCTAATAGTTGCTAGGTCTCATAATCAGAGGTCAGAGTCACTGGCCGAATCAATTGCAAGGACGTCTAGTGAGCAGAAAAGATATAATTTGGCTTTTAAAGCATCAAAGTCAGGGTGCTCTAACTGGGATAAACACAGCGAGCTTTTGCACGGAGGCAGATGACCAGAAAGCGTGCTCAATGAAGCCGAGGCGAGGGAGTGTAATATTGTTTATGTATCTTGAACTATCTTACTATCTTCAACATCAACATGCTTCAGTACGCATTGCTATGGTAAACATCTCACCTAGCACCAGCTGAAGTGCCTGGATTTCCTTCATTGCTTTCATGTGATCATGGCGTGCGGTGTCTTTCCTGCCCCGGCATTCGTCCGACACATTGCCAAGGACGGGGAGGCACGCGGCAGAAACACAAGCAACAACAAGTATAACTACACAAATCATACTTGGTCTAGTCTGTTACCTACATTGTAGCTCAGTGATTCACTGCCCCACGAGTTCCAGCGACAAGGGTACAGTCATGTGACCTATGTTTTAAAAGGTCATAAGTTGAAATTTCCCAGCTGTACCGGCGTAAGGCCTGTTATGTCTGGCCCTAAGGGCCCACACACAGCATTACTCAGGTTCGTACAGTTCTTGTAATAATCAAGGAACAGGAAAACAAGGAAAAGAGAGCTCACATTCTCGGACCTAGTCCAGCACAGCAAGCATGCAAAACCAGCCACGAGCCCAGGCGCGCATGTGCGCCTTATCACATCACGTACACAGCAAGGCCATTACAGGTGTAGTGCTTGTTCCTTACGTCCACTGGACCTGCTGCGTAATGCTGTCAAGCTGTCGCTTTCTCTGCTCTTCATCCTGCCTCCTACTTGCGATGTGAGTGAAGACGTCCTGCTGAAGCTGGTTGATGTTTTTCTGCAACTGCACAGTGCGGCAAGAAACGGCACAAACACATGATGCAGTGACAGATTTGAATCAAGACTCCTGCTGCTGAAAAAAAGAGTATATGTTGTGAAAAGTTGGCGTGATATGTCATATCCGCTGCAGCATGAACTGTTACATTTCATGATTGATCTTACTACAGTATGTAACTCACAGTCTTGTCAGGCATACCTGTATGCCGCAACTCAGAGAGTATCAGTCAGGGTATGCACAATGTAGCCTGAAGGAAGACATAAATATACCAAGTCCTTACTTGTTGCACAAATCCCCCCCCCCCCCCCTACAAATGCCCCTGAACAGAACAAGATAATTATAATGTCAAACCGACTTATGTTTAAAAAACTTACATCTACCCAAACAGAGTCTGATGGTCTTGTCACGGCCGTACGGTCCCCTGATAGGAGTGGCAGGAGCTCATCTGAGGACAACACACACAACAAGTGAGCGCATAGGGAATCAAGCAGTGCAGTCATGGGTCATGTTTTAGGTTGAATGCGTGCAGCATCACATAAATTGATAAGCAAATACTAAGTACGCGTATCATGACTCTGTGCCGCCCGACCGCCGGTACATGACTCTGTGCCGCCCGACCGCCGGTACATGACTCTGTGCCGCCCGACCGCCGGTACATGACTCTGTGCCGCCCGACCGACCGCCGGTACATGACTCTGTGCCGCCCGACCGACCGCCGGTACTATTCCGCAGTACATCAAGCTCGACTTACTCTGCAAATCAGCTATGCTCTGTCTCTGCGTGGTCAGCTGTCCCTGCATGGCTGCCATTGCTTTGTAGGAATGCTGTAGCTCCTAGTGGCAAGATGTGTACACGCGGACACACGTAAGCGACATACCACACACGTACACACAAACATGCAGTCATGTACATACACACACGCATGCATAAACATACGTATCCATATACATACTCACACACACACACCATAGTGCACACCGGCACACCGTGACAACACACAGCACAGCACACACACACACACACACACACACACACACACACACACACACACACACACACACACACACACACACACACACACACACACACATAATTACAAAACATACATACAGAGATGTAAGCACATATATGCATATGCACACACACAGTCAGGTCAGTCAGTCAGTCAGTCAGTCATAGTCAAAATGCATGAAGTCACCGTACTCTGTGCTTAGCATTGACGTGCACAGCACACGTGACTGCTGCACCTAGGAGTTCTACAATCCGTACCCGATCAGTATACTACGGCAAAGCTATCACTCTAGCCTTTCCAGTCACATGATCATGATTCATGAATGACATGAGTAGTAAAATACTGACCCCAGACACTTTCAGGTGCATATAATTATTACCTCGCTGTGTGCGGGGTACTACATGTATATTGATACCAGGGATGAATTTATTGCCATATTTTTGCATAGCAGTTTCTGCTATACAAAATCACAATTGTGTAGCAGCCTTTGATTTTGGTTAGCATTTTTCTTTTAAGGTTGGGTGTTTACCACATTGTCCTTCTTGAGAATGATGCCTGAAAGCGCATTTGCAAAAAACGACTGAATCATACATGTGCACGCAGACTGAGAGTGCCTGCACCACATACACTGCACTGTATACATGTTACTTGGCAGTACAGGCTAGGCATGGACAGTCTGTATGTATCGCAGTTTTCTGCGAGTCACGGTGACTTTTGAGTAGCAGTAGATCGATTTTGCATCGCAAACTGCGATGCGATACAGGATAAATTCATCCCTGTTGATACTAATAGCCGAGGCGGCCAACGACACACATTGCAAAAGAGTGTCGGAATCCTACAACCATGGCTTACCAGTGATTGCTGCTCTGCGAGATGCTCCAGTTTGAGCACCTTGTGCCTGAGGTCATCCACCTCGCCACCGTCCATAGTGTGTGGCATGCCGGGTGCAAGGTTGGCTGACGGGTGCACCGCAACATGCGGCAGTCCGTTCTCATAGTGCCTGCTCAGGTCGATATGCTGTGATGTAGACTGGGGTGACGAGTCATCGCTGCTGACAATCCCGGTAGTGGGCTGTGTTCCATAGCCGTCACTCAACTGATCTCTTTCCAGAGCATAATCAGCATCGTGTGAAGTTCTGCCACCGTGTACTATGGATTCAGTTACAGTCCCAGAGTCAGTGGCACTGTGGCTCAAGTATGAGGGCTTTCCTGCATGGTATAAAAGAAGCACTATACATAATTATACGAATACACTGGAAGTGAGATTTCTTTGGAGCACTTTACCTACCTTAACAGCATACCTACTTCAGTACATGTACCAGTGATACTTAGGGCATCATGCCAGAAATGGTGATCCGATTATCAGACAAGAAACTGTGTAGGCCATTGTCGTTAAATAGGTACCACCATCTTACCTTGTGTCTGTCTCCGACTTGCCACGTTCCTTTCCGTGCGATGATGGCTCCTGGAGTGTGACTGGTCAGGTTGCTTGAGGAGTGACTAGCGATGGGGAGTGCAGAAAGAACAGACACATGATAAGCAGGACGTGCCGGCTGTTTATATATAGCTCAGCTATACTATCAATAAATCACTTTCAGCCTGACCAAAGTGTATTAGGCCAAAACAAAAAATAGGCTTGTTTCGGGTTCATGCAGGACTGTTTTATTCATGAGGTTGAATACAACATGCGCCAGCGTACAGTGTATGCATGTACCTTGGCTCTGTGGAGAGTGTCTTCGGTCTCCTGGATGATAGCTGATATTGCACTCATCCTTGAAGGAACTAAAGAGGGCAGGGATGCAATTCTGCGAAGAACAGCGTAGCGGCATTAGATCATATGCGCCAACGGCTTCTGGGCTTGCCGGAACTAAGGAAATCACCTTGATCTGCTAGACTGCTAGCACAGTACCTGTACACTGCCTGCTGATACTGCCTGGTCTCACTATCACTACTTCAAACTACTACCAAATACAGTTCCACAGTCGTACAGAAGCAGTACTGCTAAGCAATAGCACACTGATTCATCCGGAGATCAGTGTACCTAGCAGCAGCAGTCACTCCAAAATCACTCAGCTGTAGCTGGGGTTTTTTTACGTCGCTACGAGTCCACGTGGTTGCGTTGCATTCAAAAGTTCAGCGATCACTGTACTGATAAACGATGAATTTCACTGACGGAATGGATAATTGGGCAGCGTAATGATGAATGAAATCGATTCAATAGTTTCTTGCAGAATTAAATCCAGGACTAGACTGGGCGGAAACGGAGACGGAGAGAGGCTGGCACAGGTCCGTGGGTGATGACTGCGCTGTAAAACTAGCAAATACCATAGGTTAGCCCTGGCAAACAGGTGCGTGGTAGTATCAGCGGCTATTGTTCCCAACTACCGATAGGCGAACATCAAGAGCGGGACATGTACGAGGCAACACGAGGTGACAGGCGGCAACACTAACAGGTGAAAGCAACGCGCAAAGCATGATGGTGGGGATGCTGGGGTCTTTATCCGTGGCTAGGCTATGTAGTATGATTGTGCTCGTAGTCGTACCACTACCATACAGCTACCTTTTCTTTGTTTTGTGCAGATCAAGCTTTCAACTTCAAGCGTCCTTTGACAGCTAGCATGTGGTTCCATGGAGATAAGGCACGTGCATTTTGGGTTGTACAGGTCAGTGTTGTGCTTCTACGTCTGTGCATGTGCAGCTGTGATAGATCTTCGGGGTTTTCCCCCTCAAGATTCGACGCGGCAGCAGTCCACGTGCTCCTTGTTGCTGTCTTCCGTCACAATCTTGTTATGTCCTGTTCAAGCATATTTGCTGAGGAGGTGACTTTTGCACACGGTTTGTGCTGTTGGTGGAGTTTTCCTGACTCTGGTGTCAGTTTTTACTCGTGGCATTATCCACCCTCTTCCCCTTTCGGTGGATACCAAGCTCCCGCAGCTGCCTTCTTCCGCCCGCAGTGACATTCTGTACGTACCCCTTTTAGTAGTTTTTACTGATGTGTGTGCATGTTATGGAGAAACATCTACAGTCCATTTCAAAACTATAGACGCGCAGTGTTTTTGAAATATTTCAAACTTGACTGGAACTTTTTGAGAATAGTTTTCGGAATATTGCTCAGGTCCGCTCCACAATTACTCTCATATAGTTTCTAAACGATTGGATAACAGACGCCCAATTTGGAAAAAATTATGCACAAAGTGATCACAGATTTTATGTGGTATAGACGCTGGCATAACGGTTTTTGCCTAGGTACGCGTCTATAGTTTTGAAATGGACTGTAGTAGACCTTCAGCTTGCTAGTCACTTTGGAGGCCAGCGACTGTCATTAAAACTAGTCATGACACGACGTACATGTACGATCACCCACCACATATTACAATGTCTTGTCCTAGTGTGCAGTAAATACTCTCATAGAACTGAAAGACAGTACAAGGAAAATAAGCCATTATCTGGTAGACTGGCAGGCCAGGGGCTGTGCTCCCTCTGCAAGAATGATCTCCTCACACATGCACCAGCTGCGAGCAGTTTGTCAGGATTACCCATGGGTCTCACTGAGGAGGTAGGAAAGGAAAGCCCCCAAAAGTATGTTGTGCCTGGCAGATGGTTTGCAATGTATGCAGTTGTGTAAGGTGAATTCATGAACTCCGCGATCCGACCCAAAGTTCATATCTGGTGCTCTACTGACATGGTACCGTAGTGACGCGCATTTAAGCGCATGTGCCTATACCCGGGCATAAGCGCACCCTCACAACTAAGCGCATGGGCTTATAAGTGAACCTAAATGCAGTCCATCCCGCAACACACGGACACCACCAAAACACCATGTTCGCATAGTTCAATGTGCATTGCGGTATTGCACTATGTGCATAATTATACAAGGTACCGGTACACTAGCAACTCAAGCGCATGCGCCTATGTGTGACACAAAACAACCAACCCGCAAAATATAGCAAATAATGCAAAAACTCACTCATAAGCGCATGTGCCTTTATGTCCGTCACTACGGTAAGAATGCTGCTGGATGCACACCTGTATATCTATGACATGTACTTCAGTACCTATTATCAGTGGTCTGAAGATTGCCTTAGCCTTGCTATGTGCATGAAGCTCAGTGTTACTATATATTTTTTAAACTGGTTGTCACCATTCTCTTCTGCCTTTGTGGTTACCGTGGTTACCGCATTGTCTGGAGTATACATGTGTTGCAAAAGAAGGATCCACGAGCGAGATTCGAACCCAGCACCCCTGTCTTTCCGGGACAGTGGCCTAACGATTAGGCTACCGGGGATCACACACACTCATGGGTCCTTCTTGCTACACTGCTCCCCCGCCCCAACAGGCTGTGTCCTCACGCCGTACCTACTCGCGGGGGGTACGATGGGTCGTGGGTTCGAGCCATTGCCAGGCGCCAATGTTGCAAAAGAAGGATCATCGAGCGGGATTCGAACCCAGCACCCCTGTCTTTCCGGGACAGTGCCCTACCTATTAGGCTACCAGGGATCACACACACTCATGGGTCCTTCTTGCTACACATGTAAGTCGCACGGGAGTACAAACCGCATCTAGATTTTTGGTTACGAAATACAGACATCTGCCATGTATCATCTGCCATGTATCTCATGGACCATTGTAGTAGAAGTCCCACCGACATTTTTTGAGGTGAGTTACGAGTGTTTAAAGTGCGGCTTATACTCCAGAAAACACGGTCCTTGTACCTACATTGATGTGATAGGAACTGATCCAGGGCACCAGCTTTTCACTTTGGAACGGATCCCACCGTGTGCCTATCGAGGATATGCGAATGATTTCAGGGGTGGAAGGGGAAGAGGGGGGGGGGGGGGGGGGAGTCAGCGGAACAGCGTCCAGGTGCTAAGTAAACAGCGTGAGTCTGCGGAATCACTTATGGCATCGTGAGTTGCTAGTGCAGTGCTGTGCCGTGACTTCGCCAAAGCATCTCATCTGATGATGCATTCACACAACCTCTATAGGGTAACTGCACTGTACACATGTGCATCCACGAGCGTCTAGTCACGGCGAAATTCCCATCATAGTCGATGCCGATATGCACGTGAAATCGCAGTTTACAATATAGTTAGCCTGGTTACGCCGCATTGCATACAACCAAGACTAGACACTCATGCAGAAGAACTGATGAGAAACTATACACCAGCATTGGGTTTCATGTACTCTTGCTACAAGCAAGAATGCATGAATGTACATGATTGTACTCTTGTTTTTGAGGACCGTATTTTCCAGAGTAGAAGCCGCACCCCCCCCCCTTGTTTGCCACGAAATACAGACATCTACATGTATTCTATTTATCCCCGTTAATTTGATCATCGGAGTATAGGCCGCACCCCCTTTTTGGGGTGAATTTTTGAGTGTGCAAAGCGCGGCTTATGCTCCGGAAAATATGGTATGAATATCTTCAGATCAATAGTAAGTGTACTGCAACTTGTACGAGCACATGTATTCTTGCTATGAGTATGACAAAGAGTACATAAACCGTTTATGTACTCTTGGTATGACTAGGATCAAGGCTACAATCTGTAGCACACCATTTTGTTTTCCATGATCTTATCACTATATCCGATGCATCCCTACAAGCGCTATATCATGCGCAATGACATTGTACAGTTGCGCTCGGTGAAATCCAATCCAGAGTGCACATTTGGCGCCCTCAATTTGCACAGCCCTGGACACCCTGGAAGTGGCACAAATGCGGCTGGACGTACACATGCACAAATACAATGATGTAATCAGAACTTGTACAGGGCGCCAGTTTTGCACTTTGGGTCGGATTTCACTGAGCGTAATTGTGCACTGTGCATGATTACATACGCGACCGGCTCTGGTGTCCACGTCCACATGGCCAGAGTCGTGTGTGTAGACGTGTGCATGCAATAGACACTGCACTGTTGCGGCATATAGTGCCTTTCAGGAGCACATGCACACACATGCACGTGACAACCATAGGTGGCAACGCCACACCGTGCCACGGTCACAGGAAGGAAACAGAGGAAGTACTTACCGCTTTGTGTCCCCGTCGTCAAGTGACGACGGGCAGGAACAGATTCCACTGCCCGCCGTCACTTGACGACGGGGACGGATTCCACTGCTTGCCGTCGCTTGACGACGGGCAGGAACGGAATCCACTGTGTTCATTGGCTCACGAACTTGGCGCGTGTTTCGTAAATACAAGGACAACAGAAAGAGCGACTAAGTAGTTATATACATGATTGTATGGTGTGAGCGTGCATGCATGCTCTTTGGCTTGGGTGCACACGGGAAACACGTTCCAGTCACTCATACTTGGCTAGTACTGCTGTTCATCCAGCTCTTGCCGCTATCGCAACGCGGGCTGGATTCCGCGGTACTGCCCTCATACTCTTGATAGTAGCTTAAGATCTTGCAGGAACCTGTAGAAGGCTGTACATCTTCAACCGGTAATTGTACCTCCATTCATGATCAATGAAACTCCTACTGAAACTCCTACAAAGCGTCAAGTCATTTGTACATACATGTAGTAGCAAGAGTAGATGAACAGTGTTAAATCTACTCTTGTTTGTAGTCATGTACTAGTATGTACTGACTGTATGTACCGGTACATGTATGGTGGTACAACCCGGTACAAGAGTACAAAGGACCATGACCTGGTATCAAAACTCTTGACGAGTCTTGTTTATAGGGCAAGAGTTCATAAACTCTTGGTACTACTATTATTGTACTCAGGTCAACCATAATAAATAGGATCCATGACCAGCGCTAGCGCATGTGCGGTGGTGATATGACCACAGTCTGATCTACATCATACATGGTAGATTATGACTGCATAGAGCTTGGCCGTGACTGAACTCCTGCCATACCACATTACATGCGATGCACATGTCACACAAGCAGTCCTGATCCTGGTTCAAACAAACAACGCTTTGACAGGAGCAGGATTTCTTCAGGAATAATTATTTCACTGAAGTCTGCAAAGTAGAAGTGACTGCTCTTTTCATGTTGGCATCCAGGAGTTTCTTGTTGAGGGAAGCGGGAAGGCAGATAGGCAGGTGTGCTTTCGCCAAATCGTTGAACGCACGGAGAATGTCTGACCAAGTGCAACCACTATCACCTTACGTAAGTCGCTAACAATACCAATACAGTCATGTACCTTATTTGTAACATTCCAATGTACAATGACACTGACGCATACCGTATTTTCTCTGATACGAGTTCTTATTATTTCAGTGACATGACTGACATCTCTACCTGCGCTACTATTAGAAACTGTGCTTTTATTTTTTTTAATGCTCCACCTGCACCAGCAAACCAACTCCAGTTTATATAGATAAACTGACCATATCCATACTGATTTTCTGAACCCTAAACTCAGGAATATTGTCATAGCCGATGTTTCACAATAACATGGGTACCAGGAAGGAAGCAGTAGACCGAAAACCTCCTTACAAGTATGTGCTGGGCATGCTGTACTCCTGTTTATTATGCAGTCAATACACTTGTTGCATACTCCAATTGTGGCCCGCGCTACTATTAGAGACTGTGCTCCTAGTATTTCAAACAGCCCTCACCCCGGGTCATTATTGGAGACTGGGCTTTTATTAGAGAAAATACGGTATCCACTCAGATCCGATATACCAGCAATACAAGCATTCTCACGTGGAATTAACTCGCGCTCCTACTCATCATGTACCGGTAGTTTGGCGTCCCACATTCCGAGTTCCATCTAGCTCCCTCTGGCTGCACTACAGCACACTACAGCCTGCATGTAGTATACCATGGTATACAGGCAGAACCAGGGGCATGTACATGTAAGCCCAAACAATTACAATGACTGTGTAGTGTGTACATTCGTATAGTTAGCTGACTGAACGTTTGTACAGGTTAAACTAACTTCATGATTGCCAAAATGTACCAAATAAACCAAATTTGGTAATGATCATGCAATGTTCATTACACATACCAGGCTGCTATCTACAAGTGAGATGCTACACAGCCAGGTACAGCACTACAGGGGAATCCCCCATATGGCAGTACATTGTGCTATGCGGCATGGCTATGCAAGCAGTGAATTCTGCAAGATTGGGGTGTGGTAGGGTGAGCTACTCGTACATTGTGGGCCGAGAAATTGATTCACCCCACACACGCCATTCTGAGTGGCATGTTGCATTTGGTATACACTATCAGTATCTGTTCTTTCTGTTGTGTGTGTGTGTGTGTATGTGTGTGGATGTGTGTGGATGTGTGTGTATGTGTGTGTATGTGTGTGTGTGTGTGCGTGTGCGCACACTGTTGCCCGGGAATGCATGTGTGCATGTTTTTAACAGGCTGCAAAGCGTATCCATGGCTTGCAAAAGAATATGTGGTGAGTAAACAAAAGTTGTTGCATCCCCATTACCCTCAGGGTCATGTTTACACTTGCTGGATGTCATTGGTCCTCTGCTGCAGGGACAAGACTGCGTGAAAGTCATGCTTTCAAACTTTATCGTTGGATAATATGGTGGTAAAGACACGCCTCGCGAAATAGCGGTAAATACATGCCTGTCCGCACAAGCTGACGGATGACTTTATCGCTATTTCTCCAGGTGTGTCTTTTGCCACCTGTGACCATATTATTCAACTATATACAGCTGCAGTGGAGTCTTCAAGTTCAGTCTCGTTCAAGCTTCCATGGGGAAACATATTTGCATTGCGGAACTAGCTAGCTAGGTTGCTGTGGCCCAAAGAGGAAATGCTAGACTTAACAAGTCTGTGGGACTAAAGTTTGTGATGTCTGTGGACTTGTGAAATTTCGCACCATTCTGTCCCCCCGTTGACGTTTTCCCTTCACGTTAGCCTAGATATAGTATGAGATTGGTACGTGCACATGTGCAGTGCTGCATTTTGAATCAAGCCTGTTTGTTAGCCTGCGGAATTTGCAATGTCGGTTGATGCTAAGTGTTTTGCTTTGTGCGTATTCTTACCAATGTTTCAGGACGGAGTATGCCGCTCTGGCACTCAGGACAAAGTCCACTAATCTTGGCCAGGTACAGTCTTGACTCTTGGACAATGAATACTATGCTACCCCAATGCCCCAATGTATTCATGGTCACAAGAGTGTGATCATTCAGAGCTAGATATTTACATGAAGAAATGATGCCAAATGAACTGGACTCTGGATTAGTATCAGCGTGATAAACCATAGTCCTACAAACCATGTGATAGTACAAGAACGTCCGTGACCCGGGTAGCAGAAAATTGGTAGTCTTGGCCTGGATATGTCCCTTCCTCACTCTCTCATAACAGCCACCTTCAATTCCTTTCCCCAGGAGACTCCCTTTGATAGGCATCCATTTGCCGCTGGAGAATCCTTGAAGATATATAATATCAATATCAATGTGTAATCTGCAGTAGGATGATCATGGATGTTGAGGTAGTGAAGAAGAAACTGTTCCTTGCCAACGTGCTTGCTGCTGTTTTCTTCTTGCTTGCCGCCGTGTGTGCTCAGGGTTTTCCAGACTTCCATGCTCCGGATCATGTCAGACAGTCACTGGCCACTGCCACGACGTCGGAGAAAGGCCGAGCCCTCAATCAGTACACTCGTAGCCAGGTAAGGTCAGCTTGTGCTGTGTGAACTCTTTCTGCCTCTTCTCCACCATTCTCTCAACTACTGTAGACTGCCCGGTATTCGCGTCACTACTGTAAGACATGCATATTTAACGAGGAAGTAAATCTAACGTTTTAACGGATGACATTTCTTCGTTATAATAAGATCCGTTTAGGCCGTATGGCTTCATATATGTTGTGTTTGGACATGGCGGAATACTGCAGGATCGTTAACATATCTTCTAGTTAACCTATGAATTTTGGACAATCGTTAAAGTTGCGACTCGTTATAATAACATGTCTTACAGTAAATGTTCGCCATCTCTCAGAACCAGCGAGTTTGCGATGGCAAATGTTCGCGGAGCACTGTGGCCACACACATACACCCACTGCTGAAGTTTGATTTCACGGTGGTTAATATTTGCGTTTTGCCCTTGTCGCGAAATTAGCGAACATTAATACGTCGCAAACATAAGGCAGTTTACGTACAACAATGGCGTGCCGTGTCCAAGGTGATGGTGAGACCTTCATCATGTTGGAAAAAACCCCACTGCCTGTCTTTTCTCTTCACCCTGCAGGAGTATGTAATTATGTAAATGAAAAAAATCTAAACCGCACACACAAGTACGTAAATACATGGGCTGTATAATAATTACGTTGCTATGGTTACATGCAGGCCCTGGATGTGATTGAGAACGTCTGGACATGTAGAAGCATGATTGCAAGCATTCACCGTAGTATTGCAATGGATATTATCTGCTTCTGCATTTCTCCGTCTTCTTTGCCGCAGGGTCATCTGCGTTTGGTGAATGCCCTTGCCAAGCTCTATTCGCCCGTGTATGGATGGGAGGTTAACCCACTAACTGAGGTACATTGCTGCTGCTGCTGCTCTTCTTGTTTATAAAGATACTTAGTTCAGCGGTTTCAGTACTCCATCAATGTACTGAAGTAGCTTCTTTGAGATCCAGGCATATACCCATCACTCTGTTCACATCCTGTCATAGAGGTCAGATGCAGACCTACTGGCAGGCGTAATCGATAACCCTGTTGCCGGACTTTAACAAACGAGGTTGCGGAAGGTGGACCAGCCGATCCTGCAACTGCAATTTTGTTTGGTGAACGTTGGGCAGACGAGCGGCTAGTCCGGCAATTTCGCTCATCTTCTGAAAAAAAGTGTTGCGACTTTTTGTGTGTTGTGTTCTTTAACGAATTGCTAGTCATTGCGTGTGAATAGACATGCTGACATTGGGTCCACTCCATGACCTGGCCAGTTTCAGTATCAAGATA